AAGCCGTAAATTCACCTCAGGATAAATAACCTTTTGAATTTTTTTCTAATAATAGTTATTAAAGATTGAATTCATTCATATACAGGAAAAATATATTGTGCCTCCTTTGTCATTTCAGAAACTATTAAAATGACAGAAAACTTTAAAAAATTGGGAGTTTTAAAGATACATTTTATTATTTTACTAAAGTTGGGTATTAGAAATAGCTAGTGCTAAAAATGAACTTTTTGATTAGAAAATGACCAATGTTTTAAGAGATTACGGTTTTCGGTTACAAATTTTACTTATTCTACTCACAAATGATAATAGATAAGAATAACATGACACTGTAAAACAGAAATAACATGTAGTGAATCTTTCTAAACTTTTAGCACTTTTTCAAGGATAAAACCTTAAATTTCACGATTAAAAATCCGCTCAGTTTATTACTGATTCATCTATAAAAACACGTGAATGTAAAATCCACGCGTTTTTATACAAGTTGCTGCAGAAAATACAATGTAATTAGGTTCGAATTTTTGAAAAGAATGATAAAAGTACATAAGTTAACAATACAATATTGGGGCGGTTTATCCACACTAAGGCTATAAACAACAATATAGTCCTTGTAAGGTGCTGGGTAGTGGAGTCACGGATAAGGTCAATGTTTGACTTCTTATCTTTTGTCTTCAAAACTACAACTGTTCTGCTGCTTTCAGTTTACTTTATAATTCAATAAAAGTAATCTTATAACTAACTATATACAACTGTAATTTTGTTATTAGTTTGTGCATAGCAATGTAATAGATTTTTGAGTGAATTAAGAATGTGTTTTGCGTTTACATTTTGGGAATTGAAATTGAAATCATAGCCTAATCACTGATCTTTGTTTGAAAGTATTGTGACAATAAAAATCTTCTATATTTGTATTGTACTGTTGTTATATTTAATGTGTATTTAGACTTGGTGAAATTTAAGTTTAAATACGTTACAAAAATGTGTTGCAGTATTATGACATCTGTATTATTATTATTTATTTTTAAATTTGCTTTTGAATTAACCTTTTAAGATTTAAATCTGAACTAAAAGCAAAACCTAAAATGCATTTATGTGTTTAAATTCTTACACCTGTAATGGCCTAAATTTAGTATGTATTTTTATTCAATAATATACCATCATTTATGAGTTTGAATACTATTTTTATCTGTACTTTAAGGGGAAAATACATAATCGTCTCAAATTTTCCAGCCTATATACAGTAGTGTTTTGACTTTATGACATTCGAATTTCAAAACTAAAAAAGATGCCACTATCTGAAAAAGGACGACATTTTGGAATTTGACACCATAAATGTCAATCCTAAAATGTTAGTCTACTATTTAAAAAAATTAACACCCAGTAAGCGTTTTTCAAACGAATATTTTTCTTTCAGACATACTTAACATGACTAAAAATGATGGAGGTGAATTTCTTTACCAAACGATTTATATACTTTTTTGGTATCACTATTAATCATGATCATGACGTGAAGACGTCACCAGGTCATGTCAACCTTGTTAATTTCTTATTGGCTAAGGCCAGGTGTTTCTTTAGTTAACCAGTTATTTAGAGCCCAGTCATAAAAACAGAATAATAACAGTTTGGAATCATTCAGAAATGCTCCAGCTTTTCTCAGGACCAAATAGCGTTCGGTGAGAAATGCAACTACTGAAATATATACAAGCTATACAAGATTAGGACATAATATTATACAAAACTATAACGCATTCAACTATTTTATCGCTTTAATAAATAATACTAAAATGCATACTACTAGCTAGAAAAAAATACTACTTAAGAAACCATTATTGGTAGTTTGGAGCAGATGTTGCCTTAGTAGAAACGATTTTTGTCAGTTTCAGATTCAAATTTAAGCCTAATGGGGTTTATACAAGCTAGGCCGGTACATTAAATAAATTATTACTCTACACGGTGCAACTGTAAGGTTGGAGAAGGTTTTATTTATTTCTTACTACTAATGTGCTGCTTTCTTTCCTATAAATGTATGTAAAGATAAGTTTTAACAAAACAAGAGCGCAGACTGTTACAAAAGTAGGTTATTGTATAAAAAATTTTAATTGTTTTAATAAAGCGGTTATAATAAACACTTTAATAATGATGAGAATGTATATACCAATTTATATTGACATATATCCTAACATAAAATATATAATCTGAAAATAGTTATTTGAACTAGCTGTTACCCACGGGCTTCACCCCGTTTGACTTCATAAGTAGTATCAATAAAACTATTAATTGGTTAAGTTAAGCTGAAATAAACAAAACAGAATACAGTAATACAAACAAATAATTACACCTGACTTTAATAAAGTAATGAATTAAAATTGAAATAATAACATACAAATAAGTACAGCTGAGGTTTTTCTAACATTAAGTGTATGGAAAGTTTCTTTTAGAAAGGAATTACGGCAATTTATGAAATAATGAAATGAAATGAAAAATGTCTTTATTTAAGAGGCGAAGTTAGGACTAGCAAGTCCTCTCTACCACTTAACCTCTGAAAAATAAATAAACTAACCACTTTATAAATAAAATTAAATAATCTAAGGTGCCATATTATAAACATGTTGAAATTAAATTTAAACCCAAAAAGTCCATTCACACAAGCCGCCAACAACCCGCCACACCAGCGCCAGAGACTCACTCATGCCTGCTACTCAAAATCATAGATTTTATCTCTGCCCCAAACCTTGCACGGTTCTCTATGGATTTTATATGGTCAGGAAGAAAATTCCACATTCGAATTGCAGATACTAAGAAAGATTTATTAAAAACTGTTGACCGGTGAATTGGTGTGGATAAAAGAAGAGAGCCTCTACGAGTGGAACGGGTACTGATGTCAGAAATGAAATGGAAGTTATCTGATAAATACTTAGGAATTTTACTGTTGATAATGGAGTGTAGAAGACGGAGGGTGTGAAATTCTCGAAGTTCATTTAGCCTCATTAATGAAAGCAGGTTGAAATATGGAGTCACATGGTCATATCGTCTAAGGCCAAATATGAATCTGATACAGGAATTCTGCGCTCGCTGAAGTCTGCTAGAAACCTCATTAGTCATGTCATTGATCACCACATCACAGTAGTTGAAATGAGTCAAGATGAGAGTTTTTACTAACATGATTTTCAAGTCCAGTGGAAGGTATTCTGCGAAACGCTTGATGGTGTGAATAGCCCCCAAAACCCTGTTACAAGTGGAATTTGCTTGGTCAGACCAATTCAAATGTTTGTTCATTATGAGTCCTAAGTTTCTCACTTTGTCGCAGTAGGTAAGGTCTTTTCCGTCAAAGCTAAGTCGTGGTGCAGTGAGTAAGTTTATTTTAGTCATTAATCTGGGGTAGCCAACAATCATTGCTTGAGTTTTGTCAATGTTGAGTTTAAGTCCGTTGTTTGTGGCCCAGTGAGTTATTGATTCAATGTCAATGTTCATGAGTCGCACAGCAGTATCCATCTCGTCTACATTAAAGTGAGAGTAAATCTGTAAGTCGTCAGCATACAGATGGTAGTGTGAGTTAGTGATATGTTCTGTGATGTCATTGATGTAAATTGAGAACAGTAGTGGGCCAAGAACAGATCCTTGAGGAACACCTCTAGTAATCTGCTCCCAAGTAGAACATTTGTCATCAGCTTTGACACACTGCTGACGATCAGATAAATAGGACTCAATCCAGTCAACACAGTTGTCAGAGAAACCAGCCAAGCGCAGTTTCAGGAGTAAAAGAGGATGGTATACGCAGTCGAACGCCTTTGAAAAGTCAAAAAGGGTTAAAATAGTGGCCTGTCTGTTATCCATTGCACAGCGGATGTCATCAGTAATTTTCAACAAAGCAGTGGTAGTGCTATATTTTGCGCGAAACCCAGATTGAAAATCCGATAAGACTTTGTTCTCTTCCAAAAAAACTGAGAATTTATTGTGCACTATTCTTTCAAGGCATTTAGAAAGGGCAGGAAGGATGCTGATTGGTCTATAATCAGAAGGGGTATTGGGAGATGAAATTTTCTGAAGTGGGCGAACAATGACTGATTTCCAGATGGAGGGGAAGGTAGAGGTTGCTAATGATCTGTTGATGATAATGGATGGCTTTGTGCAAGGTTTCTCGTCATGGCGAACATTTTAAGTATATGTTATAGGGGGGTGTGACTTGTAGTTTTCTCAAAAGCTCATGTGTACTTTGGGATTTATATATGGAAAACAAGGTTTAATATCTTAGAATTTAACTAAAATAATTTCTTTTCATACGGTAAAACTTCTATAAATAGCTCATATTTTTATGAATTGTTGCTAGTTTTATAGTTATAAATGAGTAAAAATGCTTAAATGACAAATCTTGTAGCAATTCATACTTTATAACAATACATATTATACGGCCTTACCTTTATTGTATATCAATGATTAAATCTGTGCTTTCGATATAAAACAAGTTTCAAACAACAAACCCCATAATAAATTACTTCAGTGTTCTATCCATACCACAAAAGAGTAATTTATTCTTCTTATAAATCGTAAAGAGAAAAAATATAGCACTTTGCTATTTTAAAGTAAAACAAAGGAACAAATAAATTATTGTATAAAAAGCCTTTAAATGACCATTTCTTTCATATAGTAGTTCATTTTAATAACAGAGTTCGATTCCAACCCGTGGGCTTTCCAATAGCATGGCAGGCCCATTAGACAAATTGCTCTCCATTCAGCCTCTGCACAGTAGTTAGGCATTTAGCGAAATCATTCAAGACATTTCAAATGTTAATGTCGTAGTTGGACATTTTTAACCTAAATTTACCTTACTTGATTTAGATAATATTTCGTTTTGTAACATTTTGAAGACTGTTGTAGAAATGATTTTTTTCTATAATATACATTTTCTCTATGATATTTTTCATTAAGTGTGTAAGACATTTGACGAATTGTAAGATAGGCAATGTATTTTTAGTCGCGTTACCACGGTTATAGTTTCGCGTCTTCAGGTTCCAGAAAGTGTGCAATTATCATGTTTAAATTCAGAGTAAACTTTTGAAAGAGGTTAATTATAAACACGTTGAAAATGGAGGGCAAAAAGAAATTTACCTGCCACTTAGAGGTAATCAATAAATTATAAAGCATAATACTCTTGAATTAGCTAGACGTCCCGTAATTGCCAATTAACGCATTATTTGGTCAATGGAGGTTAAATAGGATCTATATTTCGTAAAGATTTTCCTGTTTCTATGTCATTTAAATATTTTATGATATTTATTAGCTTTATTCATGACAAAAATGTTTTAGCTTCTGTTGCTTGGAAACGTAGAAAATACAAAAAAGCAGGTGTTTAGTCCAGTGGTGTTTTATGACTATAGTCTTTTATGACTATAGTGGTGTGATAAAGTCATAGAGTAGACGTCAAGGTTAAAAATGTCACATTAATAATAATTGGGTACAGAATCATAATATTTTGTTAAAACCCGATTAATTAATTGGTTAATCTAATTAATATGCTGCTATGTCCAGTAATAATCCCAATAATAGGTCTTCAAGCAGTATTTATTGATAGCCTAATCTAAATAAGACCACTTAAATGTTATTTATTTACTGCACTTCTCGTGTATCTTCAGCTATGCGGCTGTGTAGTCTGAGAACTTGCCTAACAATAAAATGACCAGTTTGATGTTAAGAAAGTTCAATTAAACTTTAGCTGTCTTTGATAACCAGGCTTTCAATAAAGGTCCTGGTTAAATGTATTACTATTTACTCTAGTAACAATGCTACACAGAACATATTACTCCACTCACACTGTTTTTAAGTTTAGCTTGAAATTCAAACGTAGGAGGCATTGCAGCCTAAAGATTAACAGTAATTATTCATTATGTTCCTTTCCTAACCAACCAAAGCATAATTAATTAAATGAAATACAAAAGCAGTGTTTTGTATAGCTTTTAAGACCAAAGCTGTACTTTCAAATAAGAAGCAATTGGTTAATTTTTTCATGTTTGCATGCTTGCGTTGATAAGTTGAACTAGTCAGGAAAATGTCTACTTTACAAATGCTAGCTACTGCCTAATCTAACTTTATATATTTCAGGTTGAAGAGGGTCAATATCCAGAGTATTGTGTGCAAGATGTATGCTGTGGAGTTTACAAACAAAAAGTATGAATTATTTCCAGTTTTTCGTTAAGTATTAATGACAATCGCTAACCACTATCACAGAAACTACTCTCTGGTTCAATATCTGTTCGGGACTTTGGCATTGTAAGATTGCAGAAAGTTCCGGTTTGCTGAGTACTCAAAGACTTTAATTTTCTAGAAAAACAAACACCATAAAATAGAGCTAGTCAGCAATTATCAATTCGCTCTACCTTAGCCAATTGCTAGCAAAATAAATCAAATGCGCCTGGGAGGCATAATAGGTGTAAATAATCCTAGCCTATGCTAGATTACATGTTTCTGATAATCACATATTGGATTAGCAAGGTATTACTTATGAAACTCGGAACACCATGTAGGCCTATCATTTTCTCTCTATCAAATCATGAACTTCAAGAGCTTTAAATGCAAAAAGATCATGTGATGCTATTGTAATTTAGTATTCAGTAATTGACAAGTATTTTTTATTTTGTCCAGTAAAACATTTTTTTTACAGAGCTGGTTCTCAACCGTGGTTTGTCTACTTTTAGTATCACTGATAATCGTTGTACTAACTTGTTACCTGATATACTTATGGATAACCTATGTGGAAGGAGATAAAAACAGTACTCAAACCCGGTCCGAGCAACGACGTCAACCTTTACAGGACGAGAAAATAAAACCAAAGAATGAAGACAAAGAAGAGCATGGTGACGATAAGATTGGAAAGATGAGTGAATATGAAACTGATGAGGTAGAGGATGAATCTGACGAGGAGAAAGACGAGGAAGAAAATAAAACATCTTCACCTCAGATATCTCAAGATTTAGCGAAGAAAGATGAGTCACAAAACCTCGATGGTGTAAAAGATGATTCGCATAGTCAAGGTTCTACAAGAGATGTTCCTACTACTTCTAATGATAATGCAAACAATCAAACGTCTGCTGATAGAGAGTTACCTACTGGGATTCAAGAGTCTTCTTCTACTAAACATGATGGTAATAATACTCCTCGAAATTTTGGCAATGATAACATCAAAATAACTTATATCAAAGAGGAATTCATTCTCCCTGACGAAGATAAAAAAGAAAATAATAGTAATAATAACGAAAATTCTGTCAAATACTACAATCTCAATTACCAAAGATTGGATGGGAAAGTGAGTGAGAAGAATAATAATGTCACCTCTTAACTACTGTATAAATGTTTATTTCGTGAAAATCGCATTATTATTTCTTACAACTTACTACTTCATAAGTCACAATCAAGTTTATAAAGTTTTATTTGTGTGAAGAAACATCCAAGTAATTAACATCCTGATTGTGTAAAACTTATAATTCTTAACTTTTTGAAATATTTGTAGTATTATAATTTACTGGAATAGTAGTTAATTCTTTTTTGTTCTTCATAGTGCTGAACATAGGAAACATGATTCTTGTGCTAGATGACACAATTGAACATTAATTTAATCTAATCTAGAACTATGAAGCGAATAGTAATAAAATAGATAATCGTTTAAATATAATTGTATTTCATGGTACAGGTATGCTAATTTAAACGAAGTAAGTAATGTACTGTATTGTCGTGTGTAAATGCTCTGTGATACGACCTTTCTGCGTATTGCAGTTGGTTGCCGTTTTTTTTTTTTTTTTTTTGTGCGGCCTATGTAAACCGGCCGGTGTCGGTGGCTCAGTTGGTAGCGTCGCGGACTTCGGGCCCAAGGCAGCAGTGTCGTGGGTTCGGATCCTGGTCACTGCCACAGACTTTTATCAGTACAGTTCACCTTTGTACTGTACCGGCTCACCCCTTGCTTTGCTGGATACCGTTCCACGCACAGATCTGTAGTCTATGTGGACGGGCAAATGCAAGGTTAAAAGAGGCCGCCAACCTCTTAAAAAAAATTAAAAAATAAAAACCCTATAACTTTTCCACATACAATTTTACTAATATACGTGTGAAAATTTAGTAGTGTTTGCTGAAATTTATTGGCGCCTAAAGGTATGCTTGGTATTCCATTCTCATTGGGCGTTAAAAGGTGACAACTCCCCTTAAGAAAAAAAAACTAAAAGGTTCTTTACATAAACATGTACAGCTAAACTCCTCACATCCAGCAGATTTTTTACTTCTTTGTTTTGCCTGTGAGAATATTACAATTAATGCCTTGAGTAAAAGAACTTCTTTAGCGAGGCAACGGGTATATTGAAAATAGCCGTCTTTGATGCATTATGAAGGGAAAATATTAGGAACAATAACGTTCCTACAGATAACAATAACGTGTTACATTTTTACAGATTCAAAGTTTGTCCACAAAGTTTTCTAACAGTCTCGATTAACAAAAAATGCATTTTTAAACTAAAATCTGTAATTGGTCATATTTGTTTCACACTGGATATTTCACTTCGATCTATAGGCCTACTCATTTATTGAAATTTAGGCAAACTGAAGAGTAAAAGAAGTTTATATATACTAATTCCATTGCGTTCGTGGAGTAAGTAACATTGCATCTCTGTAACGGCAAAAACGGATATTATCTTAGAAGCTACACAAACAGTTTTTAAATTGTGCGAAATTCTCGTTTTGTCGAAGATTTAGCTGTAACGAATAATGGGTTTGTAGGACTATGACAATATAGCCTAAATGTATTCAATCACACATCCAAAGTTAATTGTTGAAACCCGTAATCTGTTACCTCTTGTCAATAAGAGTCGAAATGTAAAATATTTGGCTATTGAATATATTTTTAACTCTTATGGAACAACCATCTAACTATACGAGGTGGATAATAATCTTTCCTTGGTGGATTCACATTGATTACAAAAGTAATTCTTTTACAAAAGCGAAACCGCAAAAATACACCTTTCACGTTGGAGTTATTGGTTTCAACTTTGCCAATTATTTGATCAGCGACTCGGTATGTTTCCAGATGAATTAATGTTCTGAATATTTGTTTGGTTTGTCCTAAATGACAGCGCTTTTTTATTGAAAACTTTTAGCAGATCAAAATTACGCTGGTTTCTGTTCTCAAGTTTCAAGTTGTGTTGAATTACTCCTATTCATGACTTACCTACATTGAATTAAATTGAATTACTGAATGAAATTTATAGTTTATAACAGTCCTCTTAGCTTGATCATAAACTAATTTTGATCTGACTTGCCAATGTGTATCTATATATCTAATTCCGTAAGCCCAAAATTTTACAATGAAATTGTGAGCGAACGGGAGGACGTAGAAAGCTGGGAGAGGTCTCATTTTAAAGGTCTCAGCATGAAATTTTGGGGATTCATTTTTCTTAATTATGCACCAAACTGTCGTTACGGAATAAAATAATTCACATTTAAATAACATGGGAATCTAGGTCATGTGCTTTGTTTACTTTAAAACATGTGGTTTAACTTTATTTAAAGCATATGATATGTAATATGTACTGTAATATGCATACTATTATAAATTTGAAATAGACTTTTCCCTAATTTTAAGGGTCTGGATTGTTTAATGGAGTACGATTTGTTGTGTTAGGTATGTCTGAACAAAGTGTAAAGTTAGAAGTGGTTACTGGAGTAGGCAAAGGGGACTTATTTTTCCATGCCGAAAATAAAACTAATATCTATAGATCCTGATATGCCGTTTAAGTTTACAAGTATTCAATTCCCATTGCGATTAGCTTTCAATATTACTTATTATTAAAGCAAAGGACGAGGCCGAACCCGAACAAAAGTTGGCATTTATTTGAAGAAAAAAATAGTGTTTACCCATGGTCAACTTTATGTTAACCAGGTAAGGCGGCCAGATGATGTCAAAATAGTACTAGAATCAAATAAAGACGAAGGAATCAATTAAAATGGATACCATACAACAAAAATGTTGTTTTCAGAGAGATTTTGTTATAAACTAAATACAAAATACAATATTTTTCTGTCATTGTAATTAGCATTTTACAATCTGGAGGAAGACGTTATCTCTATGTGTTTAATCTAAGTAAATTTGTCTATATTCAAAGAGATTTATATATATATTTAATTAATAGTCATGAAGATTATAATTGAAAATGATCATTAGTTGTATTAATGATTAGACAGTTGTTATAATACCGGATGAACAGTCTTTTGAAACTGTTATTTTAAACAGAGCAGATAACAAAATGCATTATGCAGGCATGTAATAATTATTACACATATTGTATACAAAAATGTTAAACGATCGAGTTGACAAATGGAGATCAACCCAATGGTTCAAGGTTCAACCCATGAGACAAAATATTTATACATATATAGGGGCTATTGCCCCTAAAAGCCACTAGTTATTATTGTAATAAGAAGGGTAACATTTAGGCTAAACTATCTATTGTGTATAGAACATGCCAATGCATTAACTATATTTTAAGTTGATGAAGCAATAATCATCAAATTATTTATCAACAAACAAAATTATCATATATCTTAAAAATAATGTATTAAATGCTAATATGTAAATGTAAAGATAAAAACTACTAATATTTACTTTCATGTTAGTTAAGAAATGCTTATTTAAGCTAAAACCTAAAGATTTTTGATACTTTTATTCAAAACTAGCATAGAGATGACGTGAAAGTTTGTACTTATATTACACAAAATAAATAAATAAATAGTTAAATGAAATAAAGTTTTATATTTCATTTTATTTACCGTATGAGGTAGCTGTCCATGCCCTGTCGCAAAACTGGTTTTTTGTACAAAATACAAACTGTCAGCTCAAAAAGAAAAAAAGGTTTTCCTTGGTGTTTCATCTATATTCTATATATATATATATAAAATCCAATGTATGTTTGTATGTTTGTATATTTGTATATTTGTATGTTTGTCCTTTATGGACTCCAAAACCGCTCGACAGATTGTAATGAAACTTTCAGGCATTATTAATCATTATTCAAGGACGGTTTGTGTGAAGTTTGGTGCAGATCCGTCAATAGGGCTCCGCCCCAGTGGCTCTCGAGTTTCCCATGTTAACCTTATGAGTACTCATATTTAAATGGAAAAGAATCTTAACAGCTGGTGCAACTAAACAATTTGATTCTGTCATGTTCAATAGCATTAACAAGTTAATAGGTTTACCAACAGGGTGCAGCACTATATTTATTTTTAATTTATGAGAACAGCTAATTTGCAACCAAAAGGTGAGTGAGCGTAGCGAACGAACTTCAACCTGGAGGCGAGTTAGCGTAGCGAACGAACTTCAACCTGGAGGCGAGTTAGCGTAGCGAACGATCTAACCTGAAGGCAAGTGAGCGCAGCGAACGAGCTCCAACCTAAAGGTGAGTGAGCATAGCGAACGAACTTCAACCAGGACGTGATTGAGCCATGCGAACGAGCTCATCTTGAAAATGAATGAGCATGTGACATAAAACCACAATAGGACAGGACGACGTCTGTCGGGCCAGCTAGTATGGTTATAAAATTCTTTGTTTTTTTGTTTTTGTCAAGAAATTATATTTTGTAATTAAATTAGGTAATATGAAAATTTAAAAGTAATAACTGTTTGTATACAATTTTTGTATGGTTATTTGAATTTATAAAATCAACATTGACTTGGATTATAACAGATATGAAGGAATGTATAAATGTAATTATTTTATGTCTAGACGTGTGAGTTGATAAAAAATTATTATTTGTATTAAAAATGAGTTGTAAGGTCCAGTGAATGTATTAATACGAGTAGGTCAGTGCATTTTGCAGCTTGTTTTTTTATACATTTTATTCTGTACATGAAAAATTATTTTTGTCAAACATTTCTTCTATTCACAAGAGACTCAGTATATATTGATTAAAAGTAATAAATAATTACTATATCGTTCAAAATGATATATCTGTTTGGTCACCCTGTACTTTATAACTTTCATCAGAAGTGTTATACTGTGTAAATTAATCATTTTTCCGTACATGTTACAATAAAATATATAATATAACTTATTTATTTTTTAAATCGTAGATATTTGAATTGATATTTGTATAAAAAGCTCTTAACTAACAACAGATGTTTACAGTCCGAAGCCGAATAGGATTTTTGCAGCCTAGCACTAAACTTAGGTAATAAAATAACAGCACGTTTGCTGTCCATATGGGATATTTAGACAGATCGGATGTACATATAGACACATCTGAGTAATGGTCACATGGGGTTATTGCATTGTAAAAATGTTTATAAGTTCTGAAATGTGAATTAAAAGGTAAACCAATAAAGTACCTTACAAATTCTTATAAAAATACAAAAAGTATCTGTGTTTATGTAAAAAGATTCACTGCATACTAAGGTCTAAGAAATATAATCAACCAATTGAAGTCAATACAAATATAATTTAACTGTTTAGCAGCTTACTCCATTTTGGTATTAGTTTAGTAAGCTAGGCATACCTATAAATAACTGTTACAATCTAGTAGTTCAGGTTCAAATGCCATTGGATTTGTTATCCTGTTCAGGTGGCGTTTTCAATTGAGTATCTTGCAACAAAAGTCTTTTTAGAAGGATGATTTCCATCCGTATTTGATTGATGTCTTGCTTTAGCTTAACGAGATCTTTTCTTAAATCTTCAATATCCTCAATAGGTTGGGTCACGATATAACACTAAAGATGTAGTAGACAAGACAAGAATTTGGCAAAATGTTTTTTTTTATGTTTTAGTTTTAAGATCTAATTACCATAGAAATATTATATTTATAATGCATATATACTTTAATATATTAGTTAATTTGAAAATGAAATTATTCCTCAAAGTCCTACTACGAAGGTCTAAACTATCAAAAGAGAATTATACGTATAAGAATATTCCACCAAATGAGTTTTAAATCTTTCGACGGTAGCTTTTTGATGAGTCGTAGATGAAACCAGATGGCCATACTAATTAGCTTAAATAAGTGGTCCGGACTAAATAAAAAGCTCCATCTAGTCAGTAAAATACTCAATATGCTTACACTTTTACATGCATCGTCATCACGTAATATAGTCAAATTCATACAGTTAAGTATGTATAAAAAATGTAATTATTGAATAACTTTGGCAATGTATTTCTTGCAATCAAAACTCTACCTTTTGAAATAGATTATAACTTGTCTCGAATTTGTCCAAACTCACTGGTGAGCTTTGCCACATTACACGCAGCATTTTCTGTGACATATTTTGTACAAATTAATCTGGAACCCAAAACAAGTGGAGTGAGTCACGCGCGTCCATGTTGACATGTTCTGTGATGAATGGTTTGGTTCAAATATCTCACGCGTTCGAACATGTCCTATAACTAAAACATGCAATGTTCTAATACAAATTGTAAATAGTTTTGTTTAGTTCAGTTTATGATTTAGAAACGCAAAATCCTATTAAACAATAGTTAGACCAAGCTATTAAGAAGAAAACGTTTGGACTGTTCCCTTTAATACGTGTCTTTACGTAAGATGTGTTAAGCCCGACAGTTTAAACATTTTTCCTTATATCGATCACATATGCATAAAATAGCCACACCTCACTTCTAAAAATCTTCGTGTGTTGCTTGCCTATTGGTTAGTATCTCGTAGTTGGATACCAAATAGATAATTTTGTTCCTTAGGCACGGAGATTAAAGCACATTTTCTTCAAAGCGTTTGCAATTATATTTAACAAGAAAACACTAATGTAGACACACCGTTAAAAATATCTCTATAACTAGCTTTCCAGCACAAGTCAATTGAATGCATTTGTTTTCAATCAAATAAACATTGAAAAATCAACAAGCATGAATTACGAAAAGTCAAAATAAATAAGGAAATCTTGTTATTTATGAGGAAAAGCGTAAGTAGAATTATTCTTGTAGATGTTCCATTATGCATTTCGTGAAAAGGCTTAACACTTTTCTTCTCTCCGTTGCCTTATCTACTTAACAGTATCACGGATGTATCGTTCTTGGAATAAATGTTTTTGAAGTAGTTCACCACTTAAGATATTGTTCTGAGAATCCTTTATAAGAATTTTGATTTAAGTGGTGGATGAAAAGTTGGAGATTTAATATAAGAGATAAAATATTAAATTAAAAAAATACAAATATAAGCTCAACGTTAGCGTTAGCCTACAAATATTATTACTATGCCTATGTATACATTATAGTATACAATTATTCGTTAACCTATTATTAGTATACAAATGCAAATAAAATGTATTATAATTCAAACTATTGAAGTGTCAAATCGTGATTACATGTAAGTAATGTTAATTAGGTTTAAATTAAAACCATCAAATATTGTTAAATTTAATTTCAATAAACTTGAAATATATATTTGCTTTTACTGTACGTGGAGTTTAATAATTTAATGTCCTTGCGGAATAAATGTTCGACCCTCATTTACACCTGTGGCACATTTACATTTACATGGGAATGAAACCCAATAAATATTAAGAGGTAGTTATATTAAACGGATGTGGTTTAGTTTAATGTTTTGTGTAAAATAGTGGTAATATAATGGTCGAGTTGAGACGTTAACTGAAATGACAATCAGAAGTCCAATAAAGTATTGGTTACAAAATCGTCTACTAAAATTTATATACTATCTTTTATAAATATAGATAAATGGTTTTATCAGTTTGTTTGCGTTTAAAGCTCAATGGGTCATGTTACTGCGTACAGTTTTGTACTGGTGGCTAAGGTTACAGACATAATAGTTAAAATAGTTTGACGAATTTTGACAGTACCTAATTTTTCACCGCGGTACAAAATACAGTAGCTATACGTATAACTGAGAAGAATCTTATTATAAATTATTTCAGTTTCTAGGAATATAAAAGTAAGGACTCTACAACAAGATTCGCCGAAGGAAATTTAAATATCTCGCGACTTATGTTTTGCGATTTTACATGTTAGGAGTCCTTCAGTTCCGTTCGAATGAGAAATTGCAATTAAAGATTGACTGTATTAATTTCTTCCTAGAATATTCTGATCGTTATCATCAATACGATGTCCTGTAGTAGGCCTATGCCTAATTTATGAAGGGACTTAAAAGACCTCTTATTTATTACAATGTCATGTTATTACAACTGTTATTACAATGTGTAAGGTGCTGATTATTGTGATGTTAAGGTGACCATCCCTTATAAAGACCAGTGGTTCATCAATTTATCATACTGTTTCTATAGAAATGAAATGTAAAGGTCAAGTATCAAAATTTGTAAGTTTCATAAACCCAAGATGTATTTTAATATTTAAAAACGTATTTAATCTAAATATCACTGTTTTAGTTGTATATTATTTTCGTTGAACTATCGGAACGAAAATTCTTAAGTACCCAAACGTTTCTTGGTAAGATACTATCAGAAACAAAACTAAACAATTATCAGAACCAACTATGTAAGAAGAAGGGTTTTCAGTTCAATTAAACCTTTGGAGACTTTGATAAGTATAAGAAAATTTTGCGTTACCATGGATGCACTTTTCAATAATAGCTACTTCTTAGCGTATACCATGGGCAATTTCAGAATTTTTATTCCTATAGTGGGGCATATTACTTCATAAAAAGTCAAAAATAGTAACAAACTAAACTAAAGCAAAAGTTAAACGTAGTTTTCGAATAGCAAAACTGCAGGTGCATTATAGTGAGACATGCAATGTTATAATAATATATCTTTGCATTCCTCTTTTCTTTATTCCTTGTAACGCCACCTAGCTAGAGTAACATAAAGTAAAAGCTTCTAATTTGCATCCCTAATTCAATTGATTCAATGTATTTTTGTGTAGCTATATTATTGGTCAATAGAATGCTGTTTCTTTTGTTTTGACGATTTATTTCCCAATGACCAATAGCAGCTAGGCCTAGTTTTAAGCCATGGAAAGTGTTCTTACGTGAAAAATTGTCTGGTTGAATTGTTAGATTTATTTTGTTTCGTAGGAATAAGGGTTAGCTGTCCTAGCACACAATGGCGAAGTCCGATGGTCCGTTTTGATCCTTACCGACCGCCATTCGATCAGTGTTGCTAAATAATAACCAATACTCTAAATTACTATTTGATAATTTTTTTGCAGAAAACAGAAAATGAAAGTACCAAAGTTTGATGGAGCACTTGAAATTTGTATTAGTAATTACTGCATTGGAATGTTTAAGGCGGTGAGTTAAATTTAGTGGTCCTCGTATAAATTACGTATTAGAATAGCTTAATTTTTGGTTTTTAGGCTGATTGTACATTTTAGAGTGCGTGTTTTACAATACTTGGTTTCTTCTGTTTAAGAGAACCATTTAATCACACAAGCATAATTTATACTATCAAACATTTAAACATTGTATCATCCGTATGTGTAATATTTGTGATTGGATTTAAAATATGTTAATAAATATTGACTACATGACGTATTAGTCTAGGTTGAACCTTTTTGTTCTGTAACTAAACTATAGTGTGAAATCATCGTATGACTTATGCCTAAAGAAAGAACTTTCGTAATATGTTTTGATAATTAATTGTTTTTCTTTAATTACAGATTTTGAATGGATGTATGTTTCAGAAAAACGATGTGTCGATTTGGTCTTGGATGATTTTGGTAGTTCTGATAATAATAACAGCCGTTCTGCTGATAATCCTGCTGTTACCGGAAAGAGCAGAAGAAATCAAGAATTGTATTGTATCTAACGTCCGTAAAGATAATTGTGATGGTAGCAGTGTTCCAGGAAAAGAAACTAAAAATATACAACCGAATCAAGATATCAGCGTAAATGATAGACCTAATGACAGTAAAGAGGGTAATAATAATAATAACGATATGCAAAACTCAACAGATAATATGATAGGTAAATATTCTCACGAAGAGGCAAATGCAGATGACATGAAGACAGAAGAAACCGCGTCAATCATCAAAGAAGAGGACAAAGAACAAGTTTTGAAGTCTGAATCACTCACAACAAATGAACAAAAACCAAAAAGATCTGAAGATAAAGTTACAAAAAAAAAGCCCAACAGGTCTCCCTTCAACGATAACTGTATGTACTCTTTTGGTGACATAAAAAATATGACACTGAAGTCTAAAAAACTACCAACTAACTCAAGGATATCAGAATCCAGAGAAACGCCACTTAACAAGGAGGAAAAAATTGAAAACGATTTCAAAGAAACCTCGTTAGCTCCAAAAAGAAAATATTCTCAAAATGAAAGAGGAATTAGAGAACCAATGGCAATAAATACAAAAACTCAATCTACTGACTTAAGAAAATCAGAGACAATGGAAAAGTCAAACTTACAGGTTAGCGAAAATGCAAAATTGCTGAATGATCTAAAGGAACCCTCATCCATTCCTAAAGAAGAAAGTTCTCACAACATAAGGGAAATTAAAGAACCAATGGCAAGAATTACGAAAACGCAATCAAATGACTTGAGAAAATCAGAGACAATGGAAAAGTCAAACTTAGAGGTTAGCGAAAATGCAAAATTGCTGAATGATCTAAAGGAACCCTCATCCATTCCTAAAGAAGAAAGTTCTCACAACATAAGGGAAATTAAAGAACCAATGGCAAGAATTACGAAAACGCAATCAAATGACTTGAGAAAATCAGAGACAATGGAAAAGTCAAACTTAGAGGTTAGCGAAAATGCAAAATTGCTGAATGATCTAAAGGAAACCTCATCCATTCCTAAAGAAGAAAGTTCTCAAATCATAAGGGAAATTAAAGAACCAATGGCAAGAATTACGAAAACGCAATCAAATGACTTGAGAAAATCAGATACGTCAAACCTAAATGTTAGCAGGAATACAAATTTGCAGAATGGCCTATTGAAAACCTCGTCAATTCCTAAAAGAGAAAGTACTCAAAGTAGAAGAGAAACTGAGGAACCAATGACAGGGTTGGCAAAAATGCAATCAACTGAGATGAGAAAATCAGAAACAAGAGAATTATCTAACTTAAAGGCTTCTGAAGATGTAAACTTACAAAATGATGGTAAAGAAACTTCATTATCAACTGAAAAGAAACACTCTGAAAATAAAAAAGCTGCTGAAGAGCCGGTGACAAGAATCACTCCTTTTGGTTGGGTGACGGACAACATTAATGAAGAAAGGTCGAGCGATAGTGATATTGATGCAAAATAATGCAACAATTTTAAGAACTGCTGATAGTTGTATTCGTTAAATTTCCCATTATAATTACACTGATCGATAATAGATTTCATACATTTGGAAAACATCTTGCATTTTTACTTAAAACATAATTTACGGATTCAGAGAGATTGAGGATTAGGCATTTAAGTGCTGAAACTTGGGAGAATAGGACGTTATTTTAGCTATTTTCTTTGGGTCCACTTAAAAAAGCGATAAGATATTTTGGTCTATGAATTCTAGTTACCTTTACATGACATCATCATTAGATAACAGAAGTTTAAGTATCAATAAGTTTATTATATGATTTTGGTTGATACAGTCTCTGTTCGGAATTTATATTATTTATACGCAATCTATATGAATCCAGACTTCGTTCATATTTTGTTCGGACCCACGATTATCAAGTTCAATTTAGTTTTAAATTAAATGGTTGGAGTGAAACCATTTTTAATGCAATTCCGAAGAACCAATATTGCCTCTTTTGCATACTGACCCCGTTTCAAGGCACGGATATAGCTGCTAGTTTATTATACTGTATAATTGGTATTTCCCCTACTCTATTTGTCTATATACATTGATCCCCTTTTTAAACAGTCCACAATATCGAAGTTTACCTCCCACAGTCAATGCCAATAAACTTTCAATTGTCTTAATGAAGTTAAAAATATGTTTTTATTTAATGATAAAAGTGAAAAGCAGTCAAATCAGTCAAGGCCATGTATTTATAAACACAACTTTAGGCGGAACTGATCCCAGTTCATTACCATTAAAAGGTTATTTCCTTAGGTATCTAAATCCAAAGGGGATAAGAAAGATTATGTCTATCAGTTGATAAAGATTTGCATAAAAGATTAATTAAACTCCGTTTTCATTTTAATGTGACTCAAACAGCAGCAAGCTTGCAATTATTCAGTTTACATCTATGAATAATAAATATTTTATCTTTATCTTTGACCGTTATATCAGATTACCTTGTTACCATGGTTTAGAAGTATGAATAAGCTTTACAAAATCTAAATTTCTGTATCCGCACATAACAAATGGCCAGAACTGAAGGTTTAAAATAATTTTAGATTATAAAATAAAACGCAATTTGACAAACAATATACTAATGGAATCACCTACTACATTCATTTGCCAGCTTGAGGTATAATTAGTTAAAATAAATATTTTAAGATTATTTAAATGTTAAACAATGTCAATAAATCTCTTTCCATTCATCATTGCATTACCATATCATAATGTATCTTTGTTTTATCTATTTATATTTAAAAATTTAAAATAACATAATATACAGTTTTCATAAAACATATTTTTTTACTGCTACAGGCACTTCCTGAAGAAAGTGCTGAATTTTGTATGGGTGGCGTTTGCTGCGGCATTTACAAAAGACAGGTATTCTAAATATTACATACATAATTTACTAAGTAGTGTATTTCAATACGTTTAAAAGGTCGAGGGATCAGACACTTTGTCCGTATTTAATCTTTTTTTTTTTATTTATCCATTTTCGTTCTTTAAGCTCTCAGAACTTCAACAAAGCAAAGCTATAAAACTATAAAATAGCCACCTTCATATTCAAATGTTTCATCATCAACTTTGAGAATAATCGATTCTATATTCAGTTGGATTTGTAATTAGGCACATGTTAAACATGATCGTTTCCTATCTAAATATTGATAAATTACACATACATTGACAACCAGAGAGCAATAATGATGGTATGACCATTCAACTGGTTTTGTTATGCCATGTATTCACTACATGTTCTGTTTATTAACTTTATAAGTTGTTTTATTTCAGTATACTTGTAGTGGTAGTTATTTTATATTTTATTATTATAAAAATATAAAAATTACTAAACCATTTGAAAGTATTTAAATAATTGAAAAAACCTTGAAGGATTGATGAGAATATAATCATAGAATTTTATATAGAAATGTGATATAAAACCACTAGAAACTTCAATACACTTGTGAGCAGTTGATAAAAATATCGAATAATGCAAATATTGCTGCAAAACACTCTGTTTTAGAAAAAGTGCTTGTCACAACTTGTAATCCATAAATACACAATGGTGATTGGTTTTATTCATTATATAGATTTCCAAATATCAACCGAGATTTTTTTAGACTTGCAGTCTTGGAGTCGCTTTGATGATGTTATAAGTTATAATTCTTATCTCAGGTTTCTTCACTTATTGATAAATTATTATTTAAAAAGTGCATAGTTTTCTTAAAAGATCTTTGTCAATGGTATTACTACCACAAAATGTGTACTTAGCAAATTTACTAAATATCACTTGACTAGTGTTCAATATATAAAGCTACTATGGTATGGATTATTAACAACTATTTTTTTTCAGTCAGTCGGACTACTATACTTCTTATGGATATTATTTTTAGTCTTGGTTGTCTCTCCAGCCTTGTATTATATTTTCATTCACCCACATTCACAAGCCTCAAATAATGAGCAAAGAAATGACATTGTGAATATAAAAAAACAACACAGGCATGAAAGATTATCTAAAGATATGACAAAGAATCGTAAACATAATAACAACGAGAGTGAAAATAGAAGCAGAGTTTCTGGTAGTAACCAAGATAAATTTATGAATCCCACCAAAGATGAAATTTGGCCAAAGAATCATAAAGAGCAAACTAAGAAGAGTTTTGATAACGCAGGGGAAGAAGAAAATGTAAGAAGAGAAGAAGAGCGGAGAAGCGTTACAGGAAATTATAAAATTCCTTCTACAGCGGATGCAACTGAAGATCCGACTCAACCTGAATCGAATGACTTCTCGACAAAAGCCGTAAATGACCAACGAGTATCAGTCATTTCGTTAAACAATTTAATTAATCCAAAAGATGACAATAAGCCAAAAGGTGAAAATAAGCCAAAGGTGAATGACATGAATTTGATTCAAAATGATAATGTATCTTCCAATGATAATTTATCTTCGATTGACGTTAAAAGTTTACAAAGTGAAAATGGTTTAAGCATAAACTCAGACAAACTCTCTCATAGGCATTCATCGGAAGACAAAGATGACAATTTAACGGAGGGAATGACCTTAGGAGACAATATTCCAAATGAAAAATTTAATAGAAGTGAAAGTAAAAATAGTTTAACTGTACTCAATAAGTCATCAAATGAAGAGTTTAGCTTTGAACCAAATGATACAAGTTCAATTCAACAAGATTTACCTGATGATTTAGAGAGCAAAAACATAACAAAAGGTGGTTTAGACGATGAATTGGTAGCTGGGCATGTGACTAAAGATGGTTTAGACGATGAGTTGGAAGCTGGGCATGTGACTAAAGAAGGTTTAGACGATGAGTCGGAAGCTGGGCATGTGACTAAAGAAGGTTTAGACGATGAGTTGGAAGCTGGGCATGTGACTAAAGATGGTTTAGACGATGAGTTGGAAGCTGGGCATGTGACTAAAGAAGGTTTAGACGATGAGTTGGAAGCTGGGAATGTGACTAAAGAAGATTTAGACGATGAGTTGGAAGCTGGGCATGTGACTAAAGATGGTTTAGACGATGAGTTGGAAGCTGGGCATGTGACTAAAGAAGGTTTAGACGATGAGTTGGAAGCTGGGCATGTGACTAACGATGGTTTAGACGATGAGTTGGAAGCTGGGCATGTGACTAAAGAAGGTTTAGACGATGAGTTGGAAGCTGGGCATGTGACTAAAGAAGGTTTAGACGATGAGTTGGAAGCTGGGCATGTGACTAAAGATGGTTTAGACGATGAGTTGGAAGCTGGGCATGTGACTAAAGAAGGTTTAGACGATGAGTTGGAAGCTGGGCATGTGACTAAAGAAGGTTTAGACGATGAGCTGGAAGCTGGGAATGTGACTAAAGAAGGTTTAGACGATGAGTTGGAAGCTGGGCATGTGACTAAAGATGGTTTAGACGATGAGTTGGAAGTTGGGCATGTGTCTAACCAGATCTCGAATGATAATGAATATTCTAGGTTATCGAAGAATGAATCTTCCAAGGAATCTGTTATTGAGAAAAAGGATTATGATCATAATACAAATAATATAGAAAGAAGTAATGATGTAGAATATACAAAGCGAGATTCGAGAGTCAGTAACATTAGTAAAAGAAGATTTTCGTTGAAAAACAAATTTAACTCAAATAAGGAAGATACCGACACTCAAGAACCTGAGAAGGCATCGAGAACAAATAAGAAAAAACTGTCCTTAAAACTGAACTCGTTTGTGAAAACTGATAGCAAAAAAGATTGACGTTAAATGTTAAAGTACAAGGTTTTAAATATCATAAGTTTTAGTAGTGTTTCTTTTTGTTTTCATGTTGTTATATGGTTTTATTCAAATAAATCTAACATACATTGATCTTTATTGCAACTACAAATTACTGTTTTAAACATTCCAAATACCTGTATTGTCATACATAGCAACGAGAGGTAGCCCTACGATAGTATAATAGTTTTGAACTGCATAACGCTAATACATAGAAACATAATTTGTTATATAGATAGTTTCTATAGACAATTTTGTACAGTAAATATTTCCACGAAAGATCCAAATAAAACTGTTAGTGAAATAAAATGTCAGTGGCATTCAGACATGTTGATTGATGAGAAGTTTGTTTTGTATGCATGGAAGTGACATCTCATGGCTAGCCGTGGATAATGGAAACGAAACTGTTTGGGGATCGCATGATTATAAATGTGTTTTAGATACTGTAGAGATATCGTAATGTCTGTTAGCGTCAAATACACTATACAGCCTTTAAAACTGAAAAAATTATGGTTATATAAATAATTACTTATTAAAGGTATTGACATTTAAAATAAATAAACATTAATATACAACAAGATCACACCACTCATCCTTCACCCATATTTGGGTTAAAATACGGTCTACTGGCGTCCCCATCTTAAATAATTGAATAACAAAAATGTATAAAATCCTTATTGTTTAGTTCTAAATCATTATAAAGTAGTCCTAGTACCAC